TTCCAGATGGAAATCATTCTAGATTATGTTGCATACTGTTGCCTGGGGCACCTCATTTCCAGATGGAAATCATTCTAGATTATGTTGCATACTGTTGCCTGGGGCACCTCATTTTCAGATGGAGATCATTCTAGATTATGTTGCATACTGTTGCCTGGGGCAAATCATCAGTTTTTCACTAACCTTCCTTTTGTGTTGATGGATTCTCATCCATTACAAGAGGCTACACTTTGTTTACCACAGCTGGGATACGAATCGTTGCAAGTCTCTTTCTGAATAGTCCTGATGCCTCAAATTGATCCACGTTTGTTTTTTCAAATAACATTAACCCTCTCATTACAAGCAAGTCAAAATGCATGTCACAACTTTTTAGAGAAGTTACATTCAAAATTTAATTAAACTACTTAATTATCCTTGTATAGAAATAAACTTGGCATCAAAACATAGTTAATAAATCAAATTTTAATAACATATTAGTTTTAAGTTCTTAATTTAATAAGAAAATATTTTAAAAGATCCTCAATTTTAACTATTATGAGAATTATAACATTTGCTCACTAAGTCTTCTTTCTTCTCTAATTTATCTCCACCCCTCTGAGAAGTACAGAATTTAGTGCAATCTATTCATTATAATATAGATATTACTCAGGCAAAGCTTAATTTTTATAGCCTCAATCTTTTTTCTTTTTTTTTTTACGGAGCCATAGAATAGAAAATTAGACCCACTTGCCACGTTCACCTGTCACATCCTCTCTTTCATAACAAATAGAAAACCCAAGCCTTAGTCTATCAAATGATGTATTATATTACAGTTTTCCATACAGATAATTATCTATTTCGCCTCCAGTTTGAAATTTTTCCTCATGGTATTCACTTCAACAAGCTTAGCTAAATTTTTAAGAGGCTCTTCTCATACTTAAAAAGTTAGAAAAATTATGATATAGGACATTGTTTGCTTTGTACATGTCATTATTTCTTAAATGGATTATTTAATTCAATAAAAATTGAATGTACTAGTACTATTAGTGTAAAAAAAAGTAGACTTAAGTTTCATCAACAGTCAACAGCAAAAAAACAAGTGTCCAGGTAATTACTATATTTCTTGTTTTTCATGTGTATTCTTTATTTATTATTATAAAAAATTACCTAAAATGTAAAAATTAGAAATTTATTAGGTTAGATTAGGTACGATAATGAAAAAAAAGTCTTTATGAGAAACGCTCACGAGCATCTTGTGCATTACATAATTCGATACGGTAACGTAAGCTGCATATTCACCAAGTAATTTACAGGTTGTGTGACAGGATTATTAGTTAAGACACAGTTCAAGGGGCAATAAAAAAATAAAGTATAAATAGGTGTAGACTGTTATGATATGGGTGGGTGGATTCCACCTAACCCGTATCTCCCAACGTAACCATAAAACAATTACATTATAACTTTTTAAAACGTACACGCATCATCATGAAGAATTTGCAGATTATAAGTATATATTACAAGACTTTCGCAAGCAAAATATCATATATTTTACTTATATTTTAAGTTTTTTAATTAACAATTTGTTGTGGAATTTTTCTTTTCAAATGTTAACAATCTAACATGCAACATAATTTTGATTTTAAGACTAAAAATACTACGCATCAGAAAATTGTCAAATTTCCCACGAAAAATTTATATAACCTTCGAATAACCTCCAGGTAACTATCCAATGTTTTTTTTTGGAAATTTTTTTATATATTATTTGTCATTTTCACTATTGTATCTCTATATGGGTTTGGTCGATTAAACCGACCTTGTAGCCACCATAAAAAAACTAGGAAATAGACATAAATTATGCTTTTTTCATTCTAGAATGACTACAAATTATAACAGGAAACCACAAATGTTTAGTCAAAGTAGCTGAAATCTCATAACATTATACATCTAAATATATTTATTATTTTTATTTCATTGACCTTCCAGTGATGTACGACTAACATTACAGAAGTTGCAATGACATGGCATTCATATTACCATATCCTATAGTATAAAACTGGCCTTTACAAAGTGACCTGTCTTGACTTTGTTCTAGTGGACCAGTATTTTGTTACATACAGTCACATTTCACAATGATCTCTTCTATTTACAAACTTTGTACTTGTTTGCCACTTGCTGTAATTTGCTAAGCCTTGTCAAATTTCACATGTGGAGGATGTAAAACAAAATAATCTTTTTAGGTTTTTATATATCCATTTTGAAATAGAAATAATAATTGACTATATCAAAACCACAGAATTTCACTGTAATTTATCAGGCTTAGTAACTAAGCTGTATTTGGGTCTAAAAAAATATTTTTTTAGTTCCATAACTCCTATCTTATTGCTTTGATTCTACCATGAAAAGAAAGGTTTCCCCGACGTAAACTCTTTGCAGAGGCTGAGAACATCACATGGGGGACATTATGAGTTTTCAGTTGGTTATACATACGACACTGAGCAATTTAGGTGTATGTAAGCAAATATTTCCAAAAAATGGAAGAGGTAGGTGGGACCATCTTGGTTGTTTTATTAAATAAAAATAATGTCTCACTAAACAGAAAAAATAGGAGGTTTTATATTCTAGTTTGTCAATATCAGTAATTTGAGTTTCTAATTTGTAAGAAACTATAGACTTTGTATTTGAACATCACAAACATTTAATTTGAACCAAAGTTGCATTCAACATACCACGTGACACATTAAAATCAATATTTACAGATTTTTATAACATTTATTTTTAAATTAAGAAATTAACTAATGTATAATACTAAAATTTGAATTACAGTCTACAAAAGGATATCAAAATTATTGACATGCATTGATAAAAATATTAGTTCAATAAAAATTTAAATGTAAGTCTACAAATGTGATGGCATGCCCTTCGACCTCTGACCATAGGAAGATCCGTCAGAGTTAAGCTATTTAGGATATGCAGCTGTAGATTTTCTTACAGCCTGCAATCATTTTAGAAAGAAAAAAAGGGCAATTTAGATTTATTTCATATTTTTTATAGTAGTTACAAAGTTGTCAAATCAACCAAATCAATATAGAGTTAGGGTACAGAAAATAACAGCTGAAAAAAAAGTTTGATATTTATTTAGGAAGTTTTAGAGATTTTTCACATAAAATTTCACAATAATAAGATAAAAGTATTTTTAATCTTAACATGAAAATCATTTGGCACTCAGAGCAGTTAACACTCTGATTCCATATATTCACAAACAAAGTTTTAGTAAAAATACTTAATTATAAAACCTGATTTCTTTTGTACAGAAGACTTGTAGTGTTTACTGAAAGCTTGTCAATTTTGTGAAGATACACAAAATATATTAAAATTTATAGTATGAAGACTCTGATGGTTACTTGTAGTTACAAGGTTGGTCACATCACCCAACTCCATATGAAAAAAAAGGTTAATAAAGTAACCCAACTATGAAGCACCAATAGCACAGCTGTTTTCCATCTAATCTGCCACTTAGAGCAT